TTACACTAAATAATACATTTATAACCATAATAACGTATAAAGGTTACATAAATATGTTGGCGACAATTGATTAGTATAACAAATATCTTTATAATATTTTACTAGAAATTGAACGTATAGCTCGAATTATTTGCATAATTATTATATTTCGTATTCAAAATTATTTTTTGCTTTTTAGTTATAGTTCACAATGTAACTGTAAAATTATAGTGTACTTATATTTCTTTTTATCATTAAAAATATTTCCTAAACATTCAAGACATATAAATAGATTAAATACAGTATGATCTTTTTATAGAAAGACGGGCAACTTGATATTTGATAGTTTTTAAACGGCGCAAAGGTTATGCAATATAGGGCCATCTATGCATTGAAACCAATCTCGTGTATAATACAAAATGGATTATTGTCCAATTATTAATTTAATTAAATATAAATTCTTATTAATTAATTATACTATTTTACATGTCTCTAAATAAGACTTTTGTACAAGTAGAAACAATGTGATATTAAATTTTAACAATACATTTGATGTGATGACGTTAAGAAAATATTAATACTTCTTAAATCCTGCGTGGGTATTTTATAACGATAGAGGTTTTATTATTTAATTATGAATAGTTTAGAACCATGAATACACCTCAGAAATAATCCATCAATTTCTTGGTGTTACATAATAGCTTGTTAATGCCTACGCTGCAATAAGTTCTTGTTTAGTTTTGGGATGGTGGATCAATAGTACCCCAATGTTAATTATTAGCGCGTTGATGATCAGGAATTCGGGGTGTGAAGCAATAATAATTGTTCATAGAACGCGTTTGTCTTATAGGCTTACTATAATTGCCTGACTTATATGAACACTTATGAGTAGGTTAATTGTAAACAAATTGAGGAAGTTTAAACGCAATTTTTACTAAATAAAAAAAAAACTTCTCTTTCCAAGAAGACGAAATGTTTTGTTTCAATTTGATATATACACATCAACCTGATTTTATGGCAGTGGATTTATAATACTGCATGCTTATATAAGTAATATGGAAAAATATTGTTTGTACAATAAAATTCTTATTCGATGAAACTCACAGAAATGCTTCAAACTATAAAACATTTTATTTTAAAGTGTGTTTTTAAATAGGACCAAACATTGCGTGCAAGTTCTTGAAATGAAATATTATATAAAAAAAAGTTGTATGATATAAAATGTTGTTAATTTTCATATTTTTTAATTAAAATAATTTGAATGTATACATTAAACATATGTTTTAGGGGTATTATTATTTTATTATTCAGCCGTTTGGGTTAAAACAAGCTTTTTTCGGCCCGAGTAATGTATAAACGTTGAAAGTTTTTACCGAAAAGTGTATGATAATAATAAGAGCGATTTCATACGGTGCAATCTGGGCGTAACATTTCCAGGAAATTAATGTAACGATATTGAAGATCATATTATTTTTAATCTTTGTAGAACGTAACATGTTGTTTGAAGCACGTTTATCCATATTGAATATTTGTATAGCCAGGCGAGTTTTTAGTATAATAATCAGCACAAAATGCCAGCACAATAAGAATGGAGAATAGTGGAGATGGGAAGGATATAATGTGTCTAAATGAAACGCTTAAATTCGAATCTGTATATCATAAAATATAATGAAAGATTTTATATCAAGAAAAATTACAACATATAAATAAATGTGTTTATTTTTAAATAACTGGATTTTAGATATTTTGGTTGTTTTTTTATGGTACGAGTCTAATAGTTCAAAGTTAAGACCTAAAAACTACTCTTGAAAAAAATAAAATAAAAATGTCTTCTGGGTAAATATATTTTTCTGGGTTTTGTAATATAAATTTAAGAGTATCGAAAAAAAAAATTGAATATAATTGACGATTATTCAAAAGTTATAGCGTTCAGTATTTTTAAGAAGAAAAATATGTCAAATTATGGGCAATTTTTCTTACTTAAAAGGGAAAGGGTGAATGTTTTCAACTTTACGCCATATAAAGTACATACAGTGTACAACTTTTAAAATATACTATAAAGAAGTCAGAATGGCAATTAACAAGTAATTGGGGTTTACATAAAAATCAATAAAGTATACATCATTATAAAGCCAATACCTTCTTAGTTCCGCCTCGAAGCTTAAGTACAAAATTTCTGATTAAAATAAATAAGCAAATTAAATAAAAAAGTATAAAACAACTCTCTTATCATAATATAAGTTTTCCAATTAGTCATTGTCTCTTACTTCATTTTCTCATTTATTATTCTCCTTCTATTCAGACAAAATATTTCTTTTAACACAACTTCTATTCGACATCAGTCTTGCATTTCCTAATAATTAATGAATACAACAAATTGAATTTTAGAATTTTATTCAACTAACTTAAACGTTAATAAATATAAATATCTAATTTATTTGCAAACGTTTAGACTCAAATGTCATGTTATTTTTTTAATGTACTAATTAATGATAAAATTATAAACGTTAACGAAAAACGTAATAGTCAATATACGTGTAAATGCTTATAGCATTTGTCGACTATCTGTATAATAAGATTTATATAAACTGCGAATAGGCCGATAACAGTAATTGACATTTTGAATAGCGTATCTTACAATAAATGTAGTTGGGAATAGTACTTAATCCTTAACTAACTCATCGGACGGTTCTTAAAAACGAAATGGGATTATTTTGTCAGTCGAGCAATAAATAGATACAGGCTTGTGGTATAAGAACTCTTAATAATAAAATATAGGACGTTCTGTTTGCACGCATTATAGATTTACACTAATGCATTTAAAACTTTAACAGGATGCCATAAAAGGTCATCTTTGTCACTTAAAGTTCACTTATGGGTTATAATAATAGACACGAATCGATTGAATGTGGTAGAGTGAGTCAAAGACGAGTTGACAATTAAAACTACGATAGAGAATAATTGTACTATAATCGTGTCAGGGTAGTTATTTGAAATATTTTGAGCGAGAGTGCGAATCGTTACGTCATCTACTCGGCTAGAGGCTTAAACCATTTAAATTCAACATAAATCTGTAGAAGATTAATTTCAGCACATTGTACCACACTTAACTAACTTATTGTAATTTAAATTGTTTATTTCAAGCGTCTTCTTAGAATAAGATTCTAAGAAATTATCTTGATTAAGTTTAATATAAAAATTATACATTATTTGAAAAAAGTTTATGGCGTTATACTTTATACAATTTTGGCTTAGCAAATTATAATTATTTATCGATACTTTTAGATCGTTTTATTAGGTTTATATAATTTATTTCATAATTATATTGAATCTCTAATAAAAAAATATATTAAACTAATAAAACCGAGAAAATAATAAAACTTATTAATAATTTATTTTCTTATATTAATAAAAATAAGTACAATATTTTTGAATTACAATTATTTAGTTATAAATATAATATCAGGTGTTGATTTTGTTTGTCCAAATAGGTAACAAAACATTTTTCACAGCACTTGATATGCATTATAATTGTTTCCAGTATAGAAACGGATGTCAAACATGACTGAAATTAACTATAATCTATTTGCTGCAGAAACAACTACTTGTGTGTCTAGGGAATTGGAAAAATTCATACTCCAAATGTTTTGTCTAGTACTAAATGTCTAGTATATTTATCATTATTTATGCGAAGAGAGGGGTCAACAGAAACAGCGAAAAAGGATAAAATAAACAGATTTTCCTTAGGGAGGGTGCTAAAAAAATAAAATATAAATATGTATATAATAAATACAAAAACCTGTCAAGATCTCAAAGAACAGTTATATTTAACTTGTCTTATTGACTCACCGTGAAGTGAAAATATACAAAATCCTTTAGAGGTAACCAATGTATCGATATATAGTTACACTATATAGTACTTATACAGTATTAAATATGGTGAAAATTAAAAATTCTGCCACCAGAGGACCTAGCTAGGTCAAAAAAGACCTTCGGCATAAGCGACATACGTGAACAATTATTTAAAAGTAAGTATTTTGAATAATCATATTTTTTTTAATCGAACGACCAGACAGTTAAATAGGGATATAATTATTAACTAGCAGGATAAAAAAAATAAATTGTTTTTAAAATTGGAATATTTGTAATCAAACATACAAAAATAATTATGAAGATATTTTTCATTCAGTAGGTTAGATTCAGGATTTAGGTAAAATATTGAATACGTGTAAAATAAGTCTCTATGAGAATCTCTAGAAATGCCCTAATCCCGTTTTATAAACGCAATTAAATTAAATGACATTTTGATAGGGTGTATTTACTACTTTATGGTTTAAAATGTAAATGGCAATCTGAGTTTAGTTATTCGTATAATATTCCTCAGGGTTAATAAATAACAACAAATAATAAATTATAAATGGACAATAATGTGTAGTATACGTGTAAAAAAGTTTTTAATTGTTAAATAAATAAATACTGACTGTGCGCTTAAAATGGTCAGACTAGGCGAGTAAAAAACGTCTTCTATAACAAGTTAAAACCTGGGTTTATCTGTAAATATTAACGATTATATTTTGACAAGCAAACTACACACATACAAAATTATTGAAATATTAAATCCTGGACCTTCGTGAAAAATAAATTCCAAAATTTGAAAAAATCGCCAGAAAAAAAAATGTGTTATTAAAATATCTTAGAACTTTTTTGGCCTTTTTTTAAATTTAAACTGTCGTTTTTCGTATTGAAGCTAGAACTTAGGATTTTTTTTTCTTCAGCGAAGACAGATCGCTTTTCTCTCGTTTTTCTCCGATCTACAATAAAGCACTTGCTCGTATGTATACCGAATACTCATACAAATACTATAGGTTAGTAACAGTATGTGGACGGCTTAGGCTAGTTAGCCTTTGTTGCAGAGCGTCCAACACGCTAAGGGTACTCTTGGGTCGCCGACAGAGTGCGCTTAAGTTTCGGGGGCGCTCGTGAAGCCTCCCAGTAATTTTTTTTTGTCCGTCGCTTGGCGGTTGCTCCGACTATAGAAGCACAAACTTTGGCATACAGTGTTACGGCACCGGATCACCATAACGCACTAATCATTCTAACCGTGCTTTCGGACTACCACCAAATATCAGACTCGACGGGGCGCTGGTAGCGAAGCGGCTATTTACAGTATAACGGAGACGCTCGGCGGTTCACCACTGAAACAAATACATAAACACTGCACCACACACGCACATACTCACTGAGCAACAGTTACACAGAGAATTCGCTTTTACCGAACTTTCAGCGCGACTGCCAGGTAATTTTTTTTTTTTTACACTAATGTAATATATATATTTATTTATATATACTAGGTATCTAATTAAATTATTGAATATTACAAGGGGTTAGGAAAATTATATCATAAGCAACACAAATTATTTAAAGTACTTATTTTTTAAAAATCAGAAACAATTTTTTTTTTATAAACACATCGCATGTTTAAAATGACAGTTTTTGTTTTTATCAAAATGGTTAAGAAATAGCCAACTTTGATTTTAAACAATGATAAAAATATTAGACTCCGCCTAGGACCAGTATCGACGAGAAAACGCATTGCACAAATTTAACTTATGCATGTCATTTTAAATTAATAAAAAAATACAATGCATTCAACTATAAATACATATATGTTAATGATGGGTAAGAATAAGATGATAAATGAAACACATACTCATTGAGTAGATTGCAATACAAATATTATAATTGTATTATTTTACAATAATAACATAATTTGTATTTCGTTTTAAAACCAGTCAGAACTCAGAACTACATGGTTTTGAATATACTTTAGTTTATTGGATGATTACAACATTTAATTTAACTAAGTTAAATAAGAATTCAATTATTATTTTAGTAGCATTAATATACGTTATAATATTACATTTGTTTGAACTCATACATTTTTCGGTCTAATAAGTGTTTTTTTTAAATAATCAAAATAGTGTACATTATACAAAAAGTCAATACAATAGATTACCATGTCTAATAAAAATTAACATTTTATAATCGAGCCGTCGACAACAAAAAAGGCGTAAGTCACGTAAGTTAAAAATTTACAAACGAAAGATTAAAGTATAAAAGCTTTATATTTATTATAGAGTGTCAACAAAATAAAAGTTCCATGGTTTTCTGTAAAAAAAAATGGTATTTTAATGACATACATATTAATTCGAACAGTTTAAATGTCTAAAACACCAAAATATAGTATCCAGTTTGAATTTTTAGTCCAGTAAATGTAACATGATCACAAATGTATACTTCAATAATGTTTTGGTTAAAATATTGAAACAAACTTCGCTATGATTTTAAACATTATTCCAACAATTTAATAAATGTTCTTAATTTTGGTTAGGTCGTTGCCAATACACACTACATGTCAGTTAGGCGTCAACATTAGAGATCAAAAGATTATAAGTTACTGGTTTTTACTTAATAATGGAAATAAGTAGTGCTTTCTTCAGTTTAAACTTTCAGTTCTAACCGAATTCTTTTCTGTTCAGTTCTTTCAATTTTTCTTACTGTATTACATTATTGTACTCAGATTGTAAATAACGTATTTAATACCAATTGTGTAGCTTTTAACATGAAAGTTAAGTTAATTATTTAAATTACGTACGAAACGATAATATGATATGATTGAAATGTATGAATAGTATTTTTAAAGCTATTAAATTAATATTTTATAGTGGGCGTTAAATGGTTACCAATAAAAAAAAAAGGAAGTATTTTATGGACATTCATACAATTTATTATGATCAAGCCGAGATAAATTAATGTAAATAATTGCTCTATCAAGTACCGGTAAATCTAGACAACTTTTTTGATCGGTTAATGATTAAAAATAGCATAGTATCTTATTAGCAAACTTGAATAAGCATTTACGATAAAAATGAAAAATTGGATTATAAAAATATAGTAAATGACCCAAAACTCTATAAAGAAAATGAAACTATTTGTTGAGACGATGGCCGGTTTTTTTTGTGTATATATAGTATACTCTTTTTCTTTTATTATAAGGAGATATTCTTAAATTTATCATTAAATTAATTTGATACAGTACACACTGCCATTAGTATTATGCTAAAATAACGGTCATTAATTTTGTAGCAAAAATCTTACCAGCGAAAAAAAATGTTTGAGGATTAAAAATGACATTTTTATGGTTGGCGTTTAGTTTTTTTTTTGTACTCATGTATTAAATATTTAACCATGTAAAACAAGTACACTCTTCTTCTAATATTATATTTTACTTACTACGCCCTACACTAGTTTACTCTTAAAATAATTGCAAATTTGTAGTGTTTAATTTTTAAAATTTTTTTAATTATGTTACTGTATAATATTTAAAAATATTAAAATTTTTATTATTTTTAGTATATTTTGCTAATGCTTTATAAATTTTTAAAACTTAAATGGTAACGTATAAATTAATTGAATTTTTTAATTAAGAATAATTTACTAAATTTTAACTGGTCGATAACCAGTTTTGAATTATTTTTTTAAAAGTTATTTAAGTTTGAAATTAGGGACGGCAGGAGGAATACGGCTGAGTAATGTACGCAAATAAAAATAACTCTACTCTCCATCCTAAATTTTAAACTAAAATAACTTAAAAACCATTTATTCAAAACTGGTTATTGACCAGTCAAAATATTGTCATCAAGCATAAACAAAACAATGTTTAAAAAAAAAACCCAAATTTTTAATTGTTTTAAAAGAAAATTGATGTAGTGTATTAAAAGAATCACCCAGTAGTGTTGTAAGTAGCTTATATTTATAGTGTACAGTGGCATAACCACTTTTTCGTTTATACATCAAAGCAGCGTTTAGTAACTCTAGTAATCTACGTGGTTACTGTTTTCTATCCTGACATAACCTATCCATCCTTTATAATGCAGTCTTTGCTTTGGGGAAACAGCTATATTGTTTAGGTATAGATGAGTTTTATTTTGGTAAAGGATCATTGGACAGTATCATAAAAATCTTGCATTGTGTTGGTTTTTTTATTATGGACGGGTATAACTTTTTTTTTTTGTATGGAAGGATTTACTCTATACTGATATTTTTGTGCTGTCTCGTTAGACGGCGTTAGGAACCACAAAGAAACTACAATGGAACTCACCGGGTCGGGGATATGCGATAATTGAGTATAAATAATCCGTCATCAACCCTTGCTGGAGGGGAAACATTTCTGGAATGAAAATGCTATATTTACTCTTTTGTCACGACTGAGAATTTGAAATGAAGTAGGTCCCGCGTTTCGTTGTTGTTAACTCACAGTATTGACAATAACGCTTAACCACAGCTCGTGCATGGATACATATCCAGACTTGATATACTTCTATAGAAAAAAAACGTGACTGCATTTGCATAAAAGTAACATCGTCATTACATTAATTACCTAGGTCTGTGACAATACCATTTGCAAATTCACATTGTATAAGAAATAATATAGTTTACTGATATATATCTAAAGGGTTGGTATCTGAAGTCCTGAGTTCAAAATTAAACAGTTCTTTGCATAGTATAGCAAAATTTTAAAAGCTAATGTTAATCTTCATAAAATTAATCTAGTTATTGATGAATGAATAAAAACAAGTTAACTATTTGTTGCATTTACAGTAACATAATATTATGTTGCCTTTAAAAATATTTTACTTCACCTTATCAATACGTCAATATTTTAGGATTTTAGCTTCAATGAAGTTATTGGTTTTACAATTATGTGTTTTTTTAGTGTTTAAAAACATAATAATTTTTTTTCTCTGGAAACAAAATCAACAATATAATAAACAATATCTTAAGAGAAAGTGGTAGTATCATTGATAGTTCAAATAACCCTGTATAGTTTTTCGTATCTGTTAAAATACGAGAACATAGAAATAAAAATCAATTTCGAGCAAAACAACATTATTTGCACGAAAGTTGAATAAAAAAAAAAAATTAATCTGTTTTCCATCTTTTTATTGGGGTTATGAGTAATCAACTTTTTTTTTATTAATTTTAGCTATTGGATGAGTATGACTATGGGAAATAGGTACGGATATTACTTTTGATACAGACATTGAAGGCGTAAATATCTGACAATCTAATACCGTACTGCAAATTTTTAATTAGAGCGTAATAGAAAATTGACGATAGCAGACCAATTATCGGCACATGCCTATTAGTTTATACTAAATGTATACTAAACTATATAAGAGGGTTGATTAAATATTAAAATGTCGAGGCATTAAATTGAAAAAAAAAAGTTTTACGTGTGAGTGATTTCGATTGTAATGTAATTTCATATTACAGGTATTGAATGTTATGTCATTTTAAATAAAAAAATAAACTGACAGATGTCATACTCATATAACATATATGTTTCCATATTCTATGATTTTATTTATAATAAAAAATAGCACTGACAGTTTACAGAATCGAACGAGAAAATGCAGTATAGATATTTTTAAAAATTAAGGGTATTGGTGTCTGATTTATCAATGGTAGTCTTACCCCTAAATATATCTTCCTCTTTTTAAGAAACGTTTAAACACAAAAAGCAAGGGTATGGATTTATTGCCATGAGTTAACAAGTGGATACTAACTAAATCATAAGTATCGGGTAAAGAGTAAAAGTGAACACAGTTAAAAAAATACTTAAATATTATAAAAAGAAACTGGATACAAACCAGGAACCCTTCAACTGACAGTTTGATCTTGTACTAAATTAATCTTATTTTTTTCTTCAACTTATTTTTTTCTAATCTATAATACAATCGGCCAGACAGTATTGAATCCAACGTCATTGTTTAGTGTGGACTTACATCGTTAGAAGATGTCCAAATCCATAAAACAATTTTTACTCATACACAAATATGCGTATTCACGCAATATTCACGCAAAACAAGTGTTTTTTGGATTGGTTTTTTACTAATACTAAATTCTTTTCGAAAAGTTACTCTAATTTAATTTAATTTATCTATAAAATTTTCATAAATAAATGAATCAATAATTTACGGTTATTAAAATTAATGTCCTTTAATATTTGAATGGAAAGTTTTAATTTTCAATTAATTTATTCTTTAAGGGCGATTCATTAAATATAATATTATCTACTATATATTAAATTTGAATATGCAATTGAATTTTTAACAGTTTATTTTAATATTAGCATTTAATTTTAATTTTCAAATTATCTCCCAACTTTGTATAAACGTTTATTGCGATTATTCTTTGAACAATACAAGTTGTAATTAAAACTAAGTTAATTAA